TCCGCTGAAAATAATTATTCATTTGTTCCTTAACTATTGAAAGAAAAATTATGAGAGGCAGGTTAGCATTCTCTTGACTAAAAAATTACTAAAATGTGTCTCTAAAAATAAAGACTTAATGAAAAAAAACCCTGATGAAAAAGTGTATATAATTAATAATATTGTGCCGGAATTTTCTCGTCAATTTATTACTATTCCAGTGGATTTATTTGAAATATTTGTCGATATCTCTTTTGCGGTGTTTAGTTTGTATTTTCTCATTAATTCCTATAATTTGTTCCCATTAATTCCTTTGCTGATTATTTTTATCTTAGTCAACTTAATTTGATATACTTTTTTTCATTATTCTTTTAATTCTTCGCGGAAAACTAGCCTAGAAAAAAAGAAAAATTACCAAAATTTAGAGAAAGTACAAATAAAGACTTGATTAGAAGGACTACAATTTTTTGAACCAGCCCAAAATTTGAAAAAACTACACCAAACATTAGACAACAATTCTCAACAAATAACTAATCTCAATTTTTTGGCGGCTCTTTACCAGTTGCCTGAATTAATAATTTCCGGCATTAGCATTCTCTTTTTATTTCTTTATTATCAGGTCTATTGCGAAGGCAAGGGAGGTTTGAGTTGAAGTGTCTATTTTATGGCTAATAATCTACAAACGATTTTCTCAAACGTAAAAAAAGGATTTAATTTGCTGACAACTATTTCGGCTTATCGAGAGAATTATCAAAAAATAGAAAGATTTTTTAGTTTTACAACATAAAATGAAAGCGGAGAAGCAAGTTTGATTTATTAGTAGAACTAATTAATCATAAAATTAACATTAACTCTTTTGGTTGTTTCTGCTTGTCTAACATTGACAATAGGAGTGTTTTACTATTGAAAAAACAGAAAATTAGAAAAGAAAACAGATAAAAACATTATATCGGAGATTAAATAATAGCAATTCTTTATAGTGATACGAACGCATGCAATTAAAAATTTGAAGGAGTTGGAAAAATTGAGCCGGCTTTTAACCCCTCGCTTGCAACCTAATGTATTTTTAATTTTACAAGGTGAATTGGGAGTTGGAAAAACTACCTTGACCCAATTAATAGCCAAAAATCTGGGAATTAAAGAAAAAATAACTTCTCCCACTTTTAACATTCTCCAAAGATATCAGATAAAAAATGATTATTATTTAAATCATTTTGATTTTTTTCGTTTAAGCGTCGATGATAATTTAGACATTTTTCAAGAATTGACTGTCGATAATTTAAATATTATTGAATGACCCGAAAAAAATCCCCAATTTTGAAAAGCCAAAAAATATATTTATCTGAAATTAATTAAGCAAAATTTTGGAACTAGAACTGCGAAACTTTTCTTTTCCCCACCCAGCAAAAAAGGATAACTTGTCAATCAACGTGCTGTTTTTTAACTAGCCAAGAATGCCTTCTTTGTAAAAACTAATTAGAAGTATTTAATAATTTTTTTTCCTTCAATATTTCCTCCAAAGTATCCTTGGCAACTGCTTGATAATGAGATAAATATGAGGAATAAGCACCACGGCCTCCAGTCAACTGGCGTAAAGTAGCCAAATAGTTAAGCGTTTCTCGCAAAGGGGCTTTGCCAGTGATAAAACTTTCTCCCTCTTTTTCTTCAGTATTTTCAATTACAGCATGACACCTACCAAGACTAGCCAAAGTGTCCCCCAAATAATCCTTAGGCACTATTACCGTTGTCTGCATAATTGGCTCTAATAAAACCACTCCTAATTCCTTGATTCTTTTTTCTTTTTCGGCTACGCCATCACCCCGAAAGGCCAAAACGGCCGCATTTTTGAAATCACCAGGTTTAGTATCGACTTCATGCCTTTTTCCTTCTAATAAAGTAGCCTTAATATCTAGCAAAGGATAACTTAAGAGTAAGCCTGAAGACATGGACTCTTCTAATCCTTCTTTTACTTCCTCAGCGTCTTTGTCGGACATTTCTTGACCTTTTTTGGCATCCACAAATTCAAATCCTTTGCCCGGATTGGGTTCAAAGGCAAGTTTGACTCTGGCAAAATGTCCGCTACCTCCGGTTTGTTTTTTGTATTCTCCTCACACCTCTGCTAACTTTTTAGTAATAGTTTCTCGGTAAGATACTCGTTGTTGCTTGCTTTCAATAGCAAGTTTAAACTCTCGACGTAACCTTTCCACCAAAACTTCCAGATGCACTTCACCCATGCCTGCAATAATCATTTGTCCCGTTTCTCGGTCGGTTCAGTAATTAAAACCCGGGTCCTGGATTTTTAATTTATCAAGGGCTATTTTTAATTTATTTTTATCCTCATTAGTTTTTGGTTCAATGGCTTGCGAAATTACCGGCTCGGCAAACTCAATATTTTCCAAAAGTCAAGGACTATTTTCCTCTCCCAGTGTGTCTCCCGTGACAGTGTTTTCCAAACCAATAGCCACCGCAATATTTCCGGCCCCCACTTCCTTAATTATTTCTTTATCGTTAGCGTGCATAAGAAACAAGCGGCTAACTCTTTCTTTTCTTTTTTTGTTAACATTATAGACATAAGAATTAGATTCTACCTTGCCAGCGTAAACTCGAAAGAAAGTTAATTTGTTATTATAATCATCAAAGATAATTTTGAAAGCCAAGGCCAAGCAAGAGAGAGGGCTATTACAATTAATTTCTCCGGTTTTATTTTTATCTCGGGGTGAATAAACTGTTATTTTGGGAACGTCTAGGGGAGAAGGCAAATAGTCCACCACTCCGTCTAAGAGTAATTTCACCCCCACGTGCTTGTAAGCAGAACCACAAAATGTTGGAAAATATCTACCAGTTAAAGTAACTTGGCGTAGCAATTTTTTTATTTCTGCCCCAGACAATTCTTCCTTTTTTTCATACTTCTGGAGAATAGGACTTTCTTCTCTGCCTTCCTCAACCATTTTTTCTAATTCTATCTCCACCAATTTTTCCAGTAATTCTTGTCGATACTTCTGAGTCTTTTTTGTTAGGTGAGAAGGGATTTCTTTGGTTTGATAATTTTCGTTTTTATCGCCAAGTTGGAAGTAATGAGCCTTTTGCTCGACTATATCTATTAATCCCTCTAGTTCACGACCGGCTCCAATAGGAAACTGAACCACCAAAGGCACGGCACGTAATTTTTCACGGATACTTTTTAAGCATTCGTCAAATCTGCCGATATTATCTACCCCATCCATTTTGTTAATGAAAATTAGCCGAGGCAATCTATATTTTTTGGCTTGACGTCAAACTGTTTCTGTTTGGGCTTCTACTCCTTTTTTGCCATCCAAAATTATTATGGCTCCGTCTAAAACTCGTAAAGACCTTTCTACTTCGGCCGTGAAGTCCACGTGGCCTGGCGTATCAATGAGATTCATTCGATGATCTTGTCATCGAAAATTGGTGGCAGCGGATTGAATGGTAATTCCCCGCTCTTGCTCCTGGTCCATAAAATCCATTTTGGCAGTGCCTTCATGCACTGTCCCCACCGCTCGAATTCTTCCGGCTAAATAAAGCATGGATTCGGTGGTAGTGGTCTTTCCAGCATCAATATGGGCGCTATTACCAAAATTACGGATATGGGCTAATTCTTTCTCGTCGTCGGGCATATATTATTAATTTTATTGCGAAAATTGGCACTCATTGCCTAAAAATTGAGAAAAAGCCTTTACTAATCCTCTAAATCTCTAATTTCTTTTTGCTTTTTCTTTCTCATTACCAGCACCACACCAACTATTAACACAATCGCCACAGCGGCTATCGGCAAAATTACTTTTCATGGAATACCTGGTTTATCATTACCAGTGGTATCATCCGTACTACTTTCTAATTTTGTCAGTAGGCTTTCGATGTCGGCTTCTCGCTTCTTGATATAAGTATTATCTTCCGCCTTTAATTTTTTTAATTTCTCTCTGACCGCATTTTTCTGATCCGAATTACGAGCGGCTTCTACTTCCTTCCGTAAATTATCAATTCTTTTCTCAGCATCTTTGTTACCGATAAATTCCACCAAAGTATTTTTGGCAGTTTTTAATTGGTCCTTATCATTAATTTCTTTATTTTTTATTTTGGTGAATAATTCTTTTTCTTCTGTTCCCAATTCGTCCTCGCTAACTCCGCGTTTAGTCATTGCGGCTTCAACAATATCTTTAATCAACTCTTTGGTATTTTCTGCGTTCTCTTGGAAAGCTCGGTCAATATTCCGGTCGATGATATTTTTTCATTGCTCCTCGTAGGCTCTTGAACCCTCATGACTTTCAACGTTTTTAATTTTGTTTATCAGATCCTGCCCGGTTGCCTCATCAATTCCTTTTCCCTCTTCATTTATTTGTTCCTCGGTTTGCTTCTCTTTCCGTTTTCTCTTAATGTTAGTTAATACTTTATCACGAAGGTCATTAATATCTTTTTCAGTATTCAACTGCTTTATTTGGGTTTCT